CTCTGATCTTGATTTCGAATGATTTGACATAGACAAAGCTCTGGAACTAATCTGAAGGTTGGTTAATGTTCTGCTGAGACGGTGGAGTAGCAGAAAATGTAAAGATCAGGACGTATTAATGATTTAGGCTCTCTCGTTCTTCGTTTCAATGTATCGTTCGTGTCGTCATTGTTTTTGCTCTTGTGAATGTGTGTTTTTCTTGACATTAGTTACTAAAGAACCATGTTATGTACCAATTTTCCTGTTTCGATTATGTATTAGACGCATACTCTTACCTTCAATGATTTCAACTTTTACGTCAGCAACGAGCGTGTACTCACACAGAGAGTAGAAATAAAACAGTAGCTAGTTTTTTTTTGTTTTGTTTTTGGTGAATACTTTTAATTTGACAGAGTTTCTTCCAGTGTATACTTTCAGAAAGCGAAATTTAAAAAAATAGTAGGTGCGGTGGGGAGAAATATTGAAAAAATTTTATTTGTATGCTTTGTATTGTCGTTGGTTTTATGTTTATGTACGATATATTATGATCTGATTGCGTTCTGATATGATTAAATGTCTGTTTCTGAACGAATTCGTTTTGCCTTTAATGACTGCTACATCTTTGAAAACGTAAAATGAGCTGAGAATCATCATCAGTGATTCATCTCCGATTGGTAAATGCAAGAAGCGTGAACGGAGCTTGTTCTTTTGCGAATACAAGCTCTCTAGTGCATCTGATTGTAAATTTGAGCGAGTTTCATCAACAAATTCAATTACGAGTGAAATGAAGACGTGTTATTGTTTGATGAGACTGGACGGCGGTGAATTTTCTGAACTATTTTCTGAGTCAGCACGCAGAGTGGCATTACGCGATGTGTTCAAAGCACGATCCCAAGGTGATGTTCATGTTAGCGTTCTTCTGATCAGACGCATCGTGTACAAAGGTGCGGAGAACGTGAATAGTGTGTTGATGGAGAAGAAAACTTAAGATGAATATTAGTTCTTGTGCTTGTTGGAAGGTAAAGAGTTTGTAAGCTGTTTCCCATTTCCAAAAATTTTCCTGCAGAATACTGACTGATAAGTGCCGTTTTGGAGCATANCGATGCTCAATGAAGCGAACGGTCAAGGAAGGAGTCTGGAGACAAATTTATTGATGGCAAGAATGCCCTCAGAGCTACTTTTCAATTCAATTTTTTTCGATTTTATAACACATCAACTTTTCAGTTAATAAAGGTTTCTAATTAACCTAAGATCAGAACGGATTCTTCACATCGATTCCAAATGCACATTGTCAATAAAATTATAATATCATGTTGTGCGAACTGTTTAAAAAATTGCTTCAAAGTATTCAGCAGCTACTACTGCTGATAAAATGCAACAATGATGACCGAACAGCACATACTAATTTCTTTATGAAGCCTTTGAATTTGATTGTGAGAATCTCAACATTTCAAATGTTGTTTCGCTATTGCAATCGATTGACTTAATAAGACAAAATTATTGAATTAGTGGATGTCCGTATATTCTGTAACTGATAGAGCGCTTGCTAATTGACCTATTGATGTGAGCCTTAAGAGGAAGAATGCCCTTCAAAATCACTTAGTAACTTCCGTTTCTCCAATTGTTACTCATCAACATATCCAAGTCCATCATCAGATTCATTTCGTTCGCCGTTTACGCTACGATTCCCATTGTACGCATAACATCCGAATCGCAATGATCTCTTTGACTTCATCGATTTCGAAACTCTCAAGATTTGAGATTAAAAACACATAAAATTATAGTAATGCGCGTACCAATTTCCGTTACATATACAATTAATTGGTCACGGATAAACTGAATCAAATGTACTATAAGATCCGGATTTGGATTAACTTAG